TCTCTCTCTCACACACACACACACACACACACACACACACGAAGGCACAGCTGCAGATGCGGCCCATGTAAATATGCATATGCATGTATAAGAATGTATTGCTTCTGGTGTGCAGAGATGGACTTCTTGCGGATTTGGTGGAATTTATTTGAATGGAATTTATGATATTCCTGAGTGGTTCAAAATCGTCAATCATGTGGACAATATTGTCTTCTTTGAAGTTCCTCAAAGAATCATGGGTCGTGATTTAAAAGGGTTGACTATATGCATAGTTTACTCTTCTTTTGTTTTTGGCCGAGAACTTGAAGGTCCTATTGGCATTATCGTTAGAAATCTTACCAAAAAAACTGCTTTGCACACCAAGATAGCATTTGCCAGAAAGGGAAGACCAGAACCCCATTCGTTTTTGTCAAACGAACCTGAAAACGATTATCTTTGGCAGGGACAATTGTCAAACGATGTGCTCCATTTGCAAGGCGGGGACCAAGTCTCCATTCTTGTAAGGCCTCTAGTTGATTTTGCGAGAGTGAAGAAGACAGGGGTTCATCTAGAATGGGACAAAGTCATGAAGGAAAATATGGATAATCCAGATCCTCATTTGTATGCTTTGGAAACAAATCAAGATTTTTTGGAAGTGAGTGCTATAGATGAAGAATCAGCAGTGGAAGCCAATCCTCTCGGCCATGGCGATCTATGTACTCGTTTGTCATTGTCTATCATGGAAAATCTGGATTTTTCTGGAGGAGCTGATGATGGGGCAGGACGGAGCCATGGTGCATCTAATCAATCGAGTGCTGTAGATAAACAATTAGAATGGGACGAAGTCATGAAGGATATGGATCATCCGGATCCTCACTTGTATGATTTGGAAACAAATCGGGATTTTGCAGGGGGAGTTGATGATGCATTTGTTCCCAATCAAACTAGTGTTATACATGAACAAGGGGCCTCCATGAACAATTAGCAGTGGAACCATATGTGGATTTTTTTGGGGGAACTGATAATGAGGCAGGACGGAGCCATGACGCACGACCGGATGATGAAGCAGGACGGAGCCATGACGCATTTGTTCGGACTAATCAATTGAGTGATGTGGATGAACAATTAGCATTGGAGTTGATGACTCCATTTCAAGAAATTGTACCATATTGAGCAAGCCATCAATGTTGATGGAGGAAGAAGAAGCCATGATGAAGCAGAGAGAAATTGCAATCTTGATTTATGTATTTCTTAATCTTTTAAGCTACAACACTATTACACTTTATACAGCTGTCTAACTAATTCACATCAGTGTTAACAACTCACGTGCCTTGCACACCTAACTCACCCCTGAATTAGACCAACACCCCAATGCCGGTTAAGACAACAACACTTGCAAAAACTATAGCGTGGAGAGACGTCCATCCCGTTTTCTGGGTTGTGGTTTGGTAAGATGACCCAAGTCTATTACAACGTTACAAATTTTAGTAGGAAATCTACTTCAATGATTTGGTGATGAGATGACTCAAATGAGAGAGCCATGCTGAGACCACCACCTGTCCCAAAGCCCCACATGTCACATTCTGGTGCACTCTTCACTTCTGTAGGTAGTAGACACGTGTCAGCGTAAGCAGCAACATACACTTCACACCTCCTTCACACATGAAACATCACAAACCACTCGTGCACAAAATTAGAGGTATATAGACGAGATAGCTCTTTACAAGGCTGAATAATACATGAGCTTTACATTTAAGCCCAACCGTAGATCCCAAAATATAGAACAATTCTATGCAATCCCAATTCTATAAAACAGCCCAGTTGGACTATTCAATGGACTTACTAATACAAACAACCCTTGAAAATTGTACAATTTAAAAAACAGCCACTGCAATAATATTACTAGATACCCAAACACAATATTTCAAAAAAAAAACCCAAAACCTGCCCAGCCCACTTTGTTAAAAAAATACCCATTACAAAACTGACAAAGAAACATGATATCTTATGCTTTTGGCCCTTGATTAGAATCTCCTTTGTCTTGATATCCATTTTTCATACAACTGCATATATAGTCCTTTGACACACTGCATTATTTATATCTATATCAACTTTTTAATAGAAATTTAATGCATTATTTTTTCGTTTAGAAAACTATTGGTAGATAATGTGATTACAATAATTTTGTAATCTTTTTACACACTATATGTCTCCATTTTTCTTTAACTTGTAATATTAAATTTTAAACCCATACAGCTACAATACGATGTTAAGGATAAACATAACATTTTATAATTTTTTTTTAATCAAGTAGAAACTTCATTAGATAAACTTCAACGGTACAATCAAAGACATCAATAAGACTTTTAAAATACCAATTCCAAGAGGGATTCCAAGAGGGCAACAAACTAACATGTTAAAAGTAAAACTAACGAGAACAAAAGCCGCACTAAAACTACTAACCCACATCACCATAATTAGCTATAAGCTCAAACAAAGCACATAAACCCAACATAACCAAAACTCTAAAACAACCCATGAGCCTAAACGAACCCTATCACTACTACCTGAAGAAGCGTTGTGGCAGCCACACCCACCACCGCATCCGTAACAGATGTGGGGAAAATATAATTTTCAGTGATCTATCTGCGCATAAGAGCGAACAAATAAATGAAAATAACAACTTTACCAAAGAACAATTAGGTGATTTGCAGCAACCTCCGTTAAAGACGATGTATAAACAAATTTAGAGAACATGAGCGGCATTAGGATTTGATTGAGAACATAGACTAAATGGGTGATGAGGAACTTCAATATAACCATGGCTTAAAAGAAACCATCAAAATGAGCTTTTTATCCAAAACGCCCTAGTGGAATTTTTCACTAACCTAAAAGGAAAAGACGAGAAGAGATGAGGGGGAGGAGGGGCAGTAATGCTTCTTCCTCCTCCCCCCTCTATGGAATTTTCCTTTAAGACTCACAGAGAGAAAGAGCAGCTAGGATTTTGAATTAGAATGATACCTCGTGAACATTTTATAATTTAAGTCCTCATTCAATGGTCATAAAAAACTATTTAATCATCTAAAATGTGCAAAAAGAATATATGAACTAACTTGCACATATCTCTTCCAACATTCAGATCTTTGGGATTTATCTGGTGAAAGACAAGCAAAATCCAACTCTTGACGACGTGTTGGGACCAGGGAGTAACACGGTAGCTGCTGGCAATTGCATGTACGGGAGCTCTTGCACGGTACAAACAATCAACTCTCTCTCCTTTATGTTCTGAAAATTTTATCCAAATTTTATATGAGCATTATTTGTCTTACTCTTCCCTCACGTTCTAATAAGATAGTTTGTTTGGAACTGCAGCTGGTGATTAGTACTGGACATGGAGTGAACGGCTTCACGCTTGATCCGTCTCTTTGGGAGTTTTTATTAACTCACTCCAATATTAAGGTACATACATACGTATTAGGTACGGTGTCTACTTGTACACAAATTTCTAGTGTTATTGTTATTATACATATTTCTTGAGCTCCTCTGCTGTGATATGTGGAAAATGCAAGTTCCCAAAAGATGGTTCATCTCCAAAGTCTCTAAGATACATTGGAAGGTATAATCCATTAATGAATGTTTTGTTTGCACACCATTTTCTCTCTGTTCCTGCCTTTTGCTGCAGCATATCATCCACCTGTAGACCTACGCTTCGATCATAAACAAAGCTTTATGTTCTTTAACTGATAATACTTTTATTGTATAATGCAGTATGGTTGCTGATGTCCACCGAAACATTGCTTTATGGCGGCATCTTTTTGTACCCTGCTGATAAGAAAAGCCCAAATGGAAAACTACGGTACTGCAATGCATCTATTATCTACTTTTACCCTACTAATTGGGGCAATAAACTTACCTGCAATAGGGGCGTATACCTCTGTGTAACGTGAGGAGAGGCATATACAGGTGTGTCACTATTGGTACTTTAAAGCCTAACATAAATTCTTATAAAGCTATGAAATTCGCTTGAAGTTAATTTGTATTTTTACTAATTTTAATTCTAAGTGTTAATGTTTAAAAAAAATACAAAATAATTACAATTCTTCTATATATATAAAGTAAAAGGCAAAGAATGGTAAAACATTCAAAATACCAGAGAACGCCCTTAGTTAATGCAAACATTAAGAATTGAAATTATTAATTAAATGAGGATAATATGATAAATTCACACTTTTTCATACTAAAAAAAATTAAAATTAAAAGCAAAATCAGATAATGGATCATATTTTTATGGAACTTAACTACTTATTATCTTTTTTAATTCTAAAATAAATTTAAATTCTTTTAAAAAATGCCTCTCGCAGGCGCAGAAACACGTGCGTAGGGACTAATAAAAAATAAAGAGGTAAGGCATAAATAAATAGAAAATATTTTTCTTTAACTGAACCTTGGATATAAACCGAATAAAATAATAAACAAGTAGCAATTTCACAGCAAAATTAAGTAAACTGTAAAAGAAGAAGAACTCAATGTGAAAAATAAAACCATCGAAAGTATTACTAGAAATAATATTACGTACCGATTTGATCAAGGCCTGGATAGCCCGATCAGGTCCTACAACCACAGCATCGTCCTCCACTTTTGTCGTCGGCCTGGTAAGCATCTTTTCTAACCATTTGATTTTATTTGATTTGTTGCTGGCTCTTGTAGCCTGTCGACCCATTTATCCATCGATCAAATATTTCTAAATGTGAGTTGGCATTTATTTATCAATTAATAGTCTCATTTTTAATGCTTGTCAATCATTGATTTCCATTCATATGCTGGTGTGTATCAGGTTAAATGCCTCATCTTCTATATATATGAATGTTTACCAATTTTTTGATTTCAAGTTGTCCGGTTATGAAATGTAGGAGTCCTTAATTTATTCAGGTTGACTTGGAAAAGGGCTGAATATCTATTTTAGGTTGATATCTTTGATTTGAATGATGATCTGATCAAACATGGTCAACTGTAAGGTGAAACTTTGTGTGCATGTCATGTATTGATTGAGATAGCCTCTCTCCTCTAATGGAGGATGAATCCAATTAAATAGGTGTATGGTGAACATGAATATGGAATATTCATGAAGAGTCCCGGCATTTTGGATAAACCTAAATAGTGAGAATGAATGTTCATTTTGATCACACCTCTTCTCAAAGCCTATATAAACCCCCATTCACTTCCTCAGTTTTCAATTTATTATTCCACCAGTTAATCATCAAAGTTTGAAAGAGAACCTCGCTTTGATTGAGAAAAAATAGTTAAAAATGCATAAACCCTCTCAAAAGAATCCAAGAGAGCGTTTCGTATACAAACTTTTGTAAGATTATTCGTTGAAATCCCATTATTTTGCAGTGGAAGATTTTGCCTACTGCCTGTCGACATAGGTTTAAACGCTGGACCAGTTATACTTTTTTGACTCTAAATAACTTGCATACTTACTTTATTTTAATTGCCTAATTTAATCACACAAGGGAGACTCAGAGGGGAAAGTTTGGTCCAGTGAATACCAAATTATTTATTAACTCGGATTAGGCGCTGTCTTTCCCAACTGACTTTTGGGTAGTAAAGTAAATCATAGCTATACTTGGCAGATTGATGCTGAACATGGGAAGCTCTGCAACTTTATGGTCCAACACTCAAGTTTCTGTAGTCCTTTAGAATTTCAATTAAGTTGTCTTTAATGTTATCATTAGCAAAAATTTAATGTTTCCATCCTTTTTCCTTGTGTTAAGTATCGTAATTTATGTCACAACTTTATCAGACTGAAGAACCTAATATGCCTTAATTTAAAGTAGGGTAGGTTATGTAATGGTGTGGTGTGATAAAAATAACTAATTAATTTGTCAGCCTGCAAGGTTTTTCCTAATAGGTTCTTTTATTTCATTTTAACATACTATTAGTGAACACAGGGGTGTCAAAGTAAGTGGGTAACTTCTAGACCAGGGATAAAGTTGGACGCATGCCTTGGTGAATTTACAATGCATCTCTATACATCTTTTGGTCTTTCCTAGCATGCATAATAACAATAGGTAGTAAAGCGTTAAACAAAAATAACTACTTTTTAAACTGCATGGTAGTCCTTGAAAGTCTGCAAGATTAATAGATATGTTAACTATCAGCATACGCATCTACCATTTTCATGTCAGACATGTTGGTTTTCTGTTAGAAATGTCCTAGAAATCATGAGTCATGTTCTGTCAACCTTTTTCATAGATGTGTTTCCAAGATTTTTAAATTATGTTTACCATTTTGAATAATGGATTGTTATGCTGTCCTGATCAAGACCAGCCCATCTATAGCCCCCATGTTTCTCTGAACTTTACGTACGGCTTCCAAGTTAATTTTGTGTTTTATTTTGTCACTCCAATTTGGCAGCTTTGCTAGTGGAGAATGGGAAATTCCTTCTTTCTGCAAAGAGGACTCGACGAACTACTTGTACAGAATATGTCATTTCTATGGATGCTGACAACATTTCAAGATCAAGCAGTGCTTACATTGGAAAGTTAAGGTAATTGAGAACATGATTTAAAAAGACTGAAAATGTATTTTTTTTTGTTGGTCGCTTCACAAGAATACACAATCAAAGTAACACATTGTTTTTGCATTTCTCAAACGAACAGTTGGTTTTATAGCTATTGATTCTAATCCTGTTTTTGGTTAGTTTGTTATTTCTTATAAATTATAACATAAATTTCTTAAAAGAGCTCTCATTAATGTAATTTTCTTGGCATGCGTTAAAACAATTAATGTAAAGCATGACTAGACGTGTCTTCTATTGTGTAGTACTAATAGGGATGGGTGTGACGGGATAGACTTAAAAGAATAGTTGATCTTGTAATGTTTAATCATTTATTTGTTTTACTGGCAGCTATAAGTTGGATTGTATAACCTGTTAGAAATTTTGTTTTGAAGCATCCAACTTTGTTTCTTTTCCCAGGTCAAACTTTCTTGGCACAAAATTCATTGTATACGATACGCAGCCTGCATACACTTCTGAACATATTCCCCCACCAGGGCGGACAAGCCGTAGATTTAATTCCAAAAAAGTCTCCCCAAAAGTCCCTACTGGCAGCTATAACATTGCTCAGATAACATATGAGCTAAATGTGTTAGGCACTCGTGGCCCTAGAAGGATGCATTGCATAATGCATTCTATCCCGGTCTCATCTCTTGATGCAGGAGGTTCTGTCCCTGGCCAACCGGAACTCCTTACCCGCTCCCTGGAAGACTCCTTCCGAAGTGTATCTTTCTCCAAGTCTCTTGACCACTCAGTTGAATTCAGTAGTGCACGATTTTCTGAAATTGTTGGACCCCGAGATGATGAGGATGGCAAGACAAGACCCTTGGTTTTGAAAAACAAGCCTCCACGATGGCATGAACAACTACAGTGTTGGTGTCTGAACTTCCGAGGTCGGGTAACTGTTGCTTCTGTTAAGAACTTTCAGTTGATTGCTGCCACTCAGCCTGCTGCTGGTGCACCTACTCCATCTCAGCCAACGCCTCCCGAGCTTGATAAGATAATCTTGCAGTTTGGCAAGGTTGGTAAAGATATGTTCACAATGGATTATCGTTATCCTCTATCTGCATTTCAGGCTTTTGCCATCTGCTTGAGCAGCTTTGACACCAAATTGGCTTGTGAATAGAAAAGAGTAAATAGACGGTTTGATAAGCAGAAAAGACCATTGACAATCATTCATTCTCTTTTTCACATTTTCTTTTCCTCTTCTGATATGAATTTATATTTCTTGTAACTTTATGGTAGGAAATTGTTTGTTAAATTTGTTCTGAACTCAGTTTCTACCCTGATAACAGGGTTTAACAGCATTTTAATATCAGAGCTTATTGTTACCCTGATTCTCGGTACATGATTTGTAATGTCCCTTTGGTGTTAATTCGTATTGCATGGCTACCGAACGTTCGGTTATACTTTGATTTCCACAATCCAATTCCTTGTTTTTCGGGTGTTCGGAGGGGTTGGCCTTGACTCGCGCATTATTTTCTGGTGGTGCTGGATGGTCGTCACCCATTTGATGCCGGTGGATGTCACAATCGTGTTGTTGGCAGACGTGGTGATGGGAAAGTCTTGTCTTAATTGGACTCTTGCAATGCCAATTTCTTTCTGAATTTATCAAACAAGTCAATTTTAACAGCTCTGTTTTTGGCATATGATTTGGGCGACCTCTTCCCCTTCTGATAAATTAGTAGCTGCTTCAGCTTTCACTCGAATTTTCACTTTCCCATTCGAATTCACATTTTCCTGTTAGAATTGATCTCCAACCTCTGTATAATTTAGGCAAAACTAATAACAAATTTGGCTAAAAAGTGCATTTTTTTGGTAGAAACAATTTTATTTTTGAGCATCCCCTCAGCCCGACTGTCGGCGCGAGAGGAGGTTCAACCTGACTTTGGCCACTGGGAGGCTTTGATTTAATGCAACCGTTGGAGTCTTTGGTTATTCTTGTGAGTTTTAATCTCTGTCATTGAAAGTTCTCAACTCGGCCTCTAGAGTAAAATGTAGGAATTCTCAGAGCTATTCTCTTGATTTTTCCTATCCAAGTTGATTGAAAGACAAGAACGTATTATTTGGTTCATGCAATATGGCCGATACATGTCCAGAATTTGCTAGTTTAGACTGCCGGCCAAATTGCATCAATCTGATGAGCAACTTATGATGCTCAAATAAAGTTGACTCCTTCATGAATAACGTATTCAAATGTGGGAGCATTTGGACCGGTGACGTCGTAGCCTTCTCATATTGTCACACACTAAAGCATGTTCGAAGAAAGTGTTGGTGACGGTGAATCAAATTGAATAAGTCCGATTGGAACTTCCATTGCTCCGATGAAGTTAACTCCTCCATGAGAGTTGTTCCAGCAGATGCGTATGCAGAATGCCATATCTAAATTTGAGAGAATTTGGCCTGGCCTAACCTTCTCAGACTATAGGATATGTCTTTACACCCCATAGATGCACTGCCCATTTGAATTTCATCCACAATATGTGCAAAAGCTCCATGCTTGTGTGAGAGTTGAATTGAATAGATAACCACTTCAAAGCTGGAGAATCAACAGATTCATCGGTCAACTCTGGAGTTGACTAAACTAATATATGTATATAACTAATACATATATATATATATAATATTCAAATTAAAATTATAAATAAAGTAATAACCTGAGTACAAGACTTGAGTTTTTCTTCTTCTTTTTTCTTTTTCTTTTTTAATTGGACATTGTGCTCGTCTCTTCCCTCTCTTTTCATGCCTCTTTCCCCTAAGCTTCCTTGCATTTTCCTGTCCTTCAATCTTAGCCGTCCAGTAGATAGTGTAGCTAAAAAGATGTTATCTTTTCACTGTTCTCCCCACATGGGAACTTTTGCTTTTGTCGACTGAAACGTTTGAGGACCTTGACTATGCGTATTTCGAATTTATTCGTCTGCGCTGTAACACACAAACCACTGCCCAGAAAAAATAATTAATTACGAAATAACTTCTTCTGCTCAAATCGGATCGGAAGGCCAACTTGTGCATAATTTGTAGCTGGTCTGATCTGAACCAGTATCAATTAATGGATGCCAGGAAAGCCCATAAAGCCTCATCTTCATCCTCACCATCATCCTCATCAAAACGTTGGAAGTACGACGTGTTCTTGAGCTTCAGAGGTGAAGACACACGCAAGGGCTTCACAGGCCACCTCCACGCCGCATTATCTGATGCCGGAATCAGCACCTTTCTTGACGACAACGAGCTAGAAAGAGCGGAATTTATAAAAACCCAACTGGAGCAGGCAATCGACAAGTCCATGATCTCCATAATTGTCTTCTCTAAGAGCTATGCCGATTCCAGTTGGTGTCTTGACGAGCTGGTGAAGATCATGGAGTGTAGAGGAAGATTGAGGCAACAGGTTATTCCATTGTTCTATAATGTTGATGCTTCAGATGTCCGGAAACAAACTGGTAGTTTTGCACAAGCATTTGAGAAACATGAAGCGGGCATCTGTGAAGGTAAACATGAGAAAGAAAAGGTACAGCGGTGGAGGAATGCTCTCACTCAAGCTGCAGATTTGTGTGGGGAAGATCTTAAAAATGCTGATAATGGGTAATTACTAATTTCTTGTTCCTTGGATTATCATCTCCTTACTTGACAACCATATTTTTTCTGTCCTTTTTGTTTTTCCAACTATGTTTTTAACTGTGGTTTGGTTTGGTTTGATTTTAACTATCCATTCTTTCTTAATTGATAATGTAAGATCCATTTAACCTTGTAGTTTGTTCCACATCGAATGATTCGTAGTTCTGCATCTTTGTTTAATTGCCAGGCATGAAGCAAAGTTTATCCAGAAAATTCTTGGGGAGGTTAATAAGCAGTTGTACAGGAAATACCAATTAGACATCGAACACCTTGTTGGAATTACTTCTCGGCTGAACGATGTTGTTCGCATGATTGATATTGAAAAATCAGGTTCTAAGGATGTTGTTCGCATGATTGGTATTTTGGGGATGGGCGGCATTGGAAAAACAACGCTTGCTAAAACCATTTATAACAAATTTGATCCTATCTTTGAAGGTAGGAGTTTCCTTGCAAACGTGAGGGAAGTAATTGCACACCAACCCTTTAATGGTCTGGTTGGTTTGCAAGAACAACTTCTAAATGATATCTTGAAAAGCAAGGACCCCATAAAGGTTGGCTCTGTTGCTAAAGGGATCGATATGATAAGAGAAAGACTTTGCTGTAAAAGAGCACTTGTCATAATTGACGATGCAGATGATCTACAGCAACTAAAAGCAATAGCTAGAGCTCGTGATTGGTTTGGTCCTGGAAGTAGAATTGTTATAACAACAAGAAATCAACATTTGCTAGAGCAAGTTGGAGTGGATGGCATATATATGGCTCAAGAAATGGATGAAAAAGAAGCTCTAGAGCTCTTGAGTAGGCATGCCTTCGAAAGTGGTTATCCTAATCAAGAATATCTTGACCTCTCAAAACGTGTAATTCGTTACTGTCGAGGCTTGCCACTAGCACTTGAAGTTGTAGGGTCTTTTCTGATTAAAAGATCCACAGCGGAGTGGGAAAACCATTTGGAGAAATTGAAAAGAAGTCCTGATGGAGATATTCAAAAAATACTCAGAATAAGCTTTGATGGGCTACCTGATCATACAACGAGAGAGATATTCCTTGATATATCTTGTTTCTTTATAGGAATGGACAAGGACTATGTAACAAAAATATTAGATGGATGTGGCTTTTTTGCAACGATAGGAATCAGTGTCCTCATTGACCGGTGCCTTGTAACTGTTGGTAAGTATAACAAGCTGAGGATGCATGATTTGCTTCGAGACATGGGAAGAGAGATCGTTTATGAAAATGCCCATGGTCACCCAGAAAAACTTAGTAGATTGTGGAAACGTGAAGACGTAACAAATGTATTGTGCGATGAATCTGTAAGTACTTTCCCAGTAATAAAGTTTTAGAATGCATCATGCAAGAGAAGCATATGTATCCTGTGTCTATAATAAATTAAAATGTCCGTTTCCATTTCTTTCTTTATTTTTGTTTTGTACAAGCGATAGTCTAAACCAAAGAGGAGGTTCTCACACATCCACACTACCAAGGTGCCATATGAATTTGAACTTAAGACCTTAATCTGCAAATTTATACCATTTTTCACTTCACTAGACTTGTTGCCATTTCTTATATTATATCCATTAGGATCAAAGCTCAATTAGGCATAACCAAAAAAAATATGTGCTTTGATTGCAAACACAAACTATAGGGAGTAACATGGTCCAATACTATTAATTATACCTTTTGGTTAATACATACACGGATTTTCATGTTTGTAAATCATTTTTCTAACTCGGTACCTTTTGTTAATAGGGAACTGAAGAAATTGAAGGAGTTGCTCTAAATTTGACTGGATTCAGTGCACAAGCATTTGCCAACATGAAAAAACTGAGGTTACTCTGCCTCAACGGAGTAGAGCTCACTGGAGAGTACAAAGATTTTCCCAAAAATTTAATATGGTTGCACTGGCATTATTTTCCTTTAGAGTCCATACCAGATGACTTTCCTATGCAACCAAAACTAGTTGCTTTAGACCTGCAATATAGCTACCTCAAAATAGTTTGGAAGGATTGCAAGGTATAATAATCTCAACCTAGTTGTTGTTGGTTCTTTCCTTCTGGTTCTATACATATATTGTACTTCACCTTCTCTTCATTTTGGTTTAATTTCTGTATCTGAGACCTTCCTTTTGGATTTTAATTTCCATTCTAATTTTGTTTTTGTGTAACAGTTGCATCAGAATTTGAAAATCCTTAATCTCAGTCATTCCATTTTCCTAACAAAATCACTGGACTTTTCAAAACTCCCAAATCTCGAGGAATTGATATTGGAATCCTGTTGGAGTTTGTCTAAGGTTCACTCATCCATCGGGGATCTTGGAAGACTTTCTTTGGTAAATCTTGAAGGCTGCTACATGCTAAAGGATCTCCCACTGAATTTCTATAAATCCAAGTCTATTGAAACTCTTCTACTTAATGGTTGTTCAAGATTTCAAAAGTTGGGTGATGGCTTAGGGGACATGGTATCATTGACAACTCTGAAAGCAGATGCGACAGAAATAAGACATATACCATCTTCCATATTAAAATTGAAGAAACTGAAAGCTTTATCTTTATGTTATGTGAAAGGGTCGCCATCAACAAATCTTTTGCCTCCTTCGTTGCAAAGTTTAAGCTCTTTAAGAGAATTAGCTCTTGCAGACTTAAGTTTAACTGATGATGCATTCCCCAAGGATCTCGGTAGCCTAATTTCCTTAGGAAATTTAGATCTTGCAGGAAATTATTTTTGCAGCCTACCAAGCCTCAGTCGTCTTTCAAAGCTTCATGATTTGTCTTTAAATAACTGCATAAATCTTCGTGCAATCCCAGATTTACCAACAAATTTGAAAGTCTTAAAAGCAGATGGCTGCATTGCATTGGAAAAAATGCCAGATTTTTCTGAAATGTCAAATATGAGGGAATTGTATCTGCGTGATTCGGGCAAAATCACTGAGATTCCAGGCCTGGATAAGTCATTAAACTTCATGACAAGGATTCATATGGAAAACTGCACTAATCTCACTGCCGATTTTAGGAAGAACATCCTACAGGTCAATCCTCTCTCTCTCTCTCTCTCAAACACACACATACATCTTTCTCTATCACATACAACGCACATGCATACATAAGAATGTATTTCTTATAGAAATTTGGCTCTACATGGTATAGGGATGGACTTCTTGTGGATATGGTGGCATTTTTCTCAATGGAAATGATATTCCTGATTGGTTCGACTGTGTACATGATGATGATACTGTGTATTTCACAGTGCCTCAAAGTGATGGTCGTAATTTGAAAGGGTTAACTTTGTCCTTCGGTTTCTCTTCCTCTTCAAAACAGCCCCAGCTTGGTTTTCGCATTAGCATTAAAAACATGACCAAGGGTACCGAGCTTGAAGCCAGTATCATACCCTTTTTTCGAATTGAGGGTTATTATCTTTGGCAGGGACAGTTATCAAATGACGAGCTCAAATTGCAAGACGGCGATAAAGTCTTGATTGAAGAATATATGTGGGTGGAGGTGAAGAAAACAGGTGTTAGTCTGGTATGGGACAAATTTATGAACGAAAATATGATTGATTACCATCTTTGTGCGTATGAACAACGCCCATATCTGGTCAATGATGATGTCATCATTCATGTCGAATATGATAATCACATAACAAAATCATCAGACTTTTCAAAATTCCCAAATCTCGAGAAGTTGATATTGAAAGGTTGTGTGTGGTTGGTTAAGGTTCACTCATGCATCGGGGATCTTGGAAGACTTTCTTTGGTAGATTTTGAAGGCTGCCGAATGCTAAAGGATCTCCCACTGAATTTCTATAAATCCAAGTCTATTGAAACTCTTATACTGAATGGTTGTTCATGGTTTGGAGACTTGGCTGATGGCTTAGGGGACATGGTATCATTGACAATTTTGAAAGCAGATAACACGCGCATCAGACAAATTCCATCTTCCATAGTAAAATTGAAGAAGTTGAGAATTTTATCTCTATCTGGTGAGAATTTTGAAATTCCATCTTTTACCCCTTTCGTTACATGCCTTAAACTCTTTAATAGAGTTATTATGTCTTGCAGGCTGCTGGATAACTGAGGATGATTTCCCAAAGGATCTACGTAGCCTAATTTCCTTAGAAGATCTGCTTCTTGGAGGCAATGATTTTCGTAGCCTGCCAAGCCTCGCTGGTCTTTCAAAGCTCAAGGTCTTGTGTCTAACTGCATGCAGAAAACTTCTTGCAATCCCTGATTTACCAACGAATTTGTATGTTCTGGAAGCAATTTACTGCCCAGAATTGGGAACAATTCCAGATTTTTCAAAAATGTGGAATATGAGAGAATTGTATCTAAGTGATTCGTTCAAACTCAATGAGGTTCCAGGCTTGGATAAGTAATTAAACTCCATGACAAGGATTCATATGGAAGGCTGCACCAATCTCACTGCTGATTTTAGGAACAGAATCCTACAGGTCTCTCTCTCTCTCTCTCTCTCTCACACACACACACACACACACACAAACCCAAAGGCACAGCTGCGGATGCGGCCCATATATATAATGATATATCCATGCATGTATAAGAATGTCTTGCTTCTGGTGTGCAGAGATGGACTTCTTACGGATTTGGTGGAATTTATTTGAATGGAATTTATGATATTCCTGAGTGGTTCAAAATTGTCAATGATGTGGACAATATCGTCTTCTTTGAAGTTCCCCAAAAAATCATGGGTCGTGATTTAAAAGGGTTGACTATATGCTTCGTTTACTCTTATTTTGTTTTTGGCCCAAAACTTGATTCTGAAGGTCCTATTGGCATTATCGTTAGAAATCTTACCAAACAAACTGCTTTGCACACCAAGATAGCATTTGCCAGATACGGAAGACCAGAACCCCATTCGTTTTTGTCAATTGAACCTGAAGACGATTATCTTTGGCAGGGACAATTGTCAAACGATGTGCTCCGTTTGCAAGGGGGGGACCAAGTCTCCATTCTTGTAAGGCCTCTAGTTGATTTTGTGGTAGTGAAGAAGACAGGGGTTCATCTAGAATGGGACAAAGTCATGAAGGAAAATATGGATAATCCGGATCCTCATTTGTATGATTTGGAAACAAATCGGGATTTTTTCAGGGGAGTTGATGACTCGTTGGATCCTCATTTGTATGATTTGGAAACAAATCGGGATTTTTTAGATTTTTTGGCAGTGGAACCAAATCGAGAAGCAAATGACTGCCCATATCTGGATTTTTTTGGGGGAACTGATGATGAGGCAAGACCAAGCCATGACGCATCTGTTCCCGGTGATCAAGTGAGTGCTATAGATGAAGAATCAGCAGTGGAAGACTATCTACGTACTCGTTTGTCATTGTCTATCATGGAAAATCTGGATTTTTCTGGAGAAGGTGATGATGGGGCAGGACGGAGCCATGGCGCATTTGTCTGCACTAATCAATCAAGTGCTGTAGATAAACAATTAGAATGGGACGAAGTCATGAATCCGGATCCTCATTTGTAAGATTTGGAAACAAATCGGAATTTTTGAGGGAGAGTTGATGAGTCCATTTCAAGAAATTGTTGTCACTGAGACCAGGAAAGCCCATAAAGCCTCATCTTCATCCTCACCATCCTCCTCATCAAAACGTTGGAAGTACGACGTGTTCTTGAGCTTCAGAGGTGAAGACACACGCAAGGGCTTCACAGGCCACCTCCACGCCGCATTATCTGATGCCGGAATCAGCACCTTTCTTGACGACAACGAGCTAGAAAGAGCGGAATTTATAAAAACCCAACTGGAGCAGGCAATCGACAAGTCCATGATCTCCATAATTGTCTTCTCTAAGAGCTATGCCGATTCCAGTTGGTGTCTTGACGAGCTGGTGAAGATCATGGAGTGTAGAGGAAGATTGAGGCAACAGGTTATTCCATTGTTCTATAATGTTGATGCTTCAGATGTCCGGAAACAAACTGGTAGTTTTGCACAAGCATTTGAGAAACATGAAGCGGGCATCTGTGAAGGTAAACATGAGAAAGAAAAGGTACAGCGGTGGAGGAATGCTCTCACTCAAGCTGCAGATTTGTGTGGGGAAGATCTTAAAAATGCTGATAATGGGTAATTACTAGTTTCTTATTCCTTGGATTATCATCTCCTTACTTGACAACCATATGTTTTCTGTCCTTTTTGTTTTTGTTTTTCCAACTATGTTTTTAACTATGGTTTGGTTTGGTTTGATTTTAACTATCCATTCTTTCTTACTTGATAATGTAAGATCCATTTAACATTTATTGTTAAATCCCAATCTTAATTGTTAATTATATCTTAATTCTAAATTATTAAGTTAGGGATTCAATTTATTTATAAATTTGTATTCAATTTAACCTTGTAGTTTGTTCTGCTTCTGTGTTTAATTGCCAGGCATGAAGCAAAGTTTATCAAGAAAATTCTTGGGGAGGTTAATAAGCAGTTGTACAGAAAATACCAATTAGACATCGAACACCTTGTTGGAA